CTCGGGAGGTGGTCCAGGCACGTCCCCCCGGTAGGAGGCCCAGGGGACGGCCCAGGACACGCTGGAGGGACTATGTCTCTCGGCTGGCCTGGGAACACCTTGGGCTCCCCCCGGAGGAGCTGGAGGAGGTGTCTGGGGAGAGGGACGCCTGGGCGTCGCTGCTGAGTCTGCTTCCCCCGCAACCCGGTCCCGGATAAAGCGGAAGAGTACGAGTACGAGAATGAGTGCGAGATTAATAAAGGCCAAGCTACTTTGGCTAGCCGACGGGGTCAAAACCTCTCCAAACTGCAGCTCCTGTCGGGTGTTCCTGGTCTGCAGTGGTCAGTGTCTGTCAAAAGGGGAGGAGAGAACAATATTGAACTAAAAAGGTCATGGGGTGGCCAGGGCTCATTGATGCATGTGGGAAATGAAGGCATGATAGGGAGCTACTGTTGCCCACTAACAATGGGGCTGTGAGCAGAACTGAACCACAGAGCAGAAGAAGGCGGCATATCCTGATTATGTTTTCCTTTAAATCAGGAAAGCAGTTGGATGGTCTGATGGGTGTGTGTTGTTTACCTGCAGAAGCCAAGGCAACAGGATCCACTGTGGGAGGGAAACAAGCTAGCGAAGGCAGTGTGACGCTTTGGGCATTGTCCAGCAGTCCATGTGGATGTTACTTGGACATACTATGCTACAAGGGCTTCTTGATCACAGACAGAAATTATAAGAACATTCATTTTGGTCAATATTAAAAGCATGGTTATTCATTGAGTGCGAAAAAACAATGTATGTTTTGTAAGGCTTTATGATTATTGATTATAAATATTTAGCAAAATTATAATTAAAATCTGCGTCCTTCTGTGTGCTGAGTATAGATGGAAATCAAACCAGCTGTTTATGGACTGAGTGGGAATGGATCAAAGCTTCAGATTGGCTTGGAATATGGAAACAAAATCAATGAGCGGCAAAGAGTTTCTACATTCTCGGGAGCGACTTGGCTCCTAACCTAACAGCTGAGAGTGAGCTGCTCCAGCACACAGCCTCTCAGCCAAGGTCAAACATTGGATTAACTAATGGTGATCATAGGCCACACTTAATCCTCCTTCGTCCAAAACAGGGAAAATACGATGAACTGTTGCAGTCGACCGTAACAGGAAATCCGTCTCCTTGGGAAACCTCTGTGGGTTTTTACTTTTGCCTGGATAGCATCTCCGAACTCTGCTGGTATCAGAGCTGCGACGCCTCTTGAGCTGCGTTGTAGTTTGTTTGGCTCACAAAATGGAAGATGACCCAACAGTTTTACACATTTTTCATGCTACATTCTTCTTTTGTAAAATAGTATTCAAAATACAGGATTTCATATAGAGGCGACTGTGGCTCAGTAGGAAGAGTAGTCGTCTTGCAATCAGAAGGTTGTGGGTTCGATTCCAGCTTTCTCCTGCCATATGGGGCAAGGCACTTAACCTCAAGTTGCCTATCGGTGTTAGTGAGTGCGATTGGGTGAATGTGGGTCTAGTGTAAAGGCACTATATAAAATTCAGTCCATTTACCATATAAAAAATTAACACAAATAAAATCAGTGATTTTTAAGAGGAATAGTTAGAGTGCTGCAGACAACCATTCAGTCTTACACACTGTGGTGGGTTTGATCCTGACATACACCCATGTCTCCTGGAGTTTCTGGCTATATGTGTCCTTTATATTAAATCCATTGAGAAAATGAAAGAACGTGATCATCACAGTGCTGCCTGCTTTGTCCAGATGACAGTGTTTGTTGAACCAGGAATATGATGAACTCCACGGTGATAAGCAAACAGCAGGGGTTCTTGAAAGGCTCTTGTTTGCTTACTCAGGTGGGCCAACAGGACTTTCAAGACATACAATTCACATGTAGACTAAGATTATTTTCACAACCCTACCATCTAACTTAGAATATTTGCAGGCCATGTGCATTCTTTTATAGAAACTACATTCCCTGTTCACTGTGGCCTGTTTCAGCATGATAATGCACCCTGCCATGAAGAGTACATCGGTCCAGAATGATATGAGGAGCATGGTGTTGACTTGGCCTCAACAGTCATGATCAGCATCTAAGGGATATGCTGGACAAACAAATCTGATCCATTGAGGACCCACCTCAGATCCTAAAGCACTTGAAGGATCTGCTGCTGCTAATATGCTGGTGCCAGATTTTTTAGACTGTTGAACTGAATGAACACTTTATCTTGTTAAGGCAGGTGTCCTTTTTCTTCTACGTCTATCACAGACCTATTTATTCCAGTAAAATCCTCTAAAGTTTGTGGTTGTAATGTGACAAAATGTAGAACTGTTGAAGAGGAATAATTATTTTCCAAGTGACATTCTTGCATCTCCTCATCTACGCTCATAACTGGGTCTATTTCTTATTTCTGATGTCAGTATGGAAATTCCATATTTCTTCATTCTATAGGAACCTGTTGAAGCTGGTTGATAGTTTTAAAAACACCCCTCACTGCCTGAAGTTGGCATTGGGAGGTGGGGAATCTTCTGCTCACTGTGACTTGGAAATTTTGTCTAAAACAAAATAAAAAGCCATTTATCAAATTGAAAAGCTTTTATTAATGCAGTGAAAGGACATATCTGTAGAGTAACTGCAGCTGTGTGTCTTATCTGTTCTTTTGCAGGGAGCTCACAGTGATGGCCATCGCTGTCTCCTGCCTCCATCTGTTTGCTCAGAGTAACTGGACCGGTCCACCGGTCTCTTTCAACATGTGTGACTTGCTGCCTTTGGCACTGCTGTCCTCTCAGGTACGTTCCCATTCCCTCATCAAGTCCAACTGCTTTGGCACCTGTCTTCTTGCCTCCTGCTGAATTTGCTTGTTCTTTTATTTCCACCAGGCATTAAAATCCATCCTTAATTTTTAAATCTCAGTTATCTGCGTTTTTACTGTCATTGTTTCTGCTTTTTATGCTGGTGTATTAGAATAAACTGCACAGGCCCTATCAGCTATAGACTCCATGCAGTGTGATGTCATGAGGGCCAGCTCTACGTCCCAGTCTCCCTCTGGTTGGCCAAATTAGCCCACTGCTATTAAAGCAGAGTGTGACACTCAGAGAAGGTTTGAGAAGCGAATGTATACGCACGAGGTCCTGTAAAGTTTATTACACAATAACGTTTATTAAGAAAAGAAGCATTTTTTCCATATAATCTGTAAAAGTCTTCACATTATGGTTGCATGTGCTTTTTACTATTGCATTGTATTATTTATTTTCCATCATTTTGTTTAATTTTATGGCTAAGGGTTATAATTAACCACTCATTATGTTATGTGTTAGCTCTTAGCTGCCTCCACCCACCTCAGCTACCCGGTGAAGCCGCTTCCTGATCAAAGCATCTGGATTTTAGTGGACAAATAAAGTTTGCGTTGTTAATTGACAAATAAGACATAAAGTAGCTGCGCAGCTCATGTTAAAATAGGCCACTATTCAATGACATTCCAAATGGTAGCTATTAGTTCCAAGAGCTAGAGTTCTAAAAAGCCTGGATAGCTTTAAGCCAGGTTTCACAGATTTGTGGATCTAGGCAATTGTTAAAGTTCTATTTAACATAGATTGACACTGAAACACTGAAAACTAGAATCTAAAACATTCTGCAGAACAGCTTAGGGGGTTTTACAGAAGCTATGGAGGTAATTTTCAAGAACTGTTGTGTTCTATTTTTTTTTTGTAAAGATTTTTTGCCACTAGTGGTTATCAGACGGGAAGGAGGGTGGAGAGAGAAGGGGAAGATATGCAGTAAATAGCTCGAGACTGGGAATCGAACCCAGGACAACCGCATTGAGGACTATAGTCCCTGCATATTGTGTGCCTGCTCTACCAACTGAGCCGCCTTCACCCCCACACTATTGTGTTCTTCGATGCCTCAAACTGTAGCACCTCCTGAACATGCACTGAGGAATATCATCTGGGACTCCTCTGCTTGAAAGCCTCCCGTATATAAAGGCCCAGATTGTGGATACAGTTATAAATGATCTGGTTCCGAAACCTTTGTCCACTTGTTGAGCACATCTTCACAGCATTTACTCAGGTTGAATAAAGATCTGGCAATCCAGAGTAGTGTATACATAATATTTTAAAAGCTAATCGGTCCGCGTGCAGTATTGATTTTTTTTTTTCTCTGCAATATCATCCTGGTCCTCCATCCTGGTTTCTGCCTAAGACTGCAGTGCATGTGTGGAAATTCGAAAGTAAACATAAATATGATCTATACTGCTACTGCTGCATTTAATGCACACACCTTCAGTTACATAACAAGCCTCTGACTGATCCCTTTACGTCTATATTAACAACCACATGTTAGCCACATGTTGGTGCTGAAGCTCGTTGCTTCCCTGTTGTTTTTACTCCTCAGTTATTATTACTGCAACAGTTTGACAAGACTGCCCCCACTCTACATTTTGGCAAAAAACCCCATAAATATCTTTGTTTTTATTGAGGGACTCACCTGAAATAAATGATAGGAAGACTGCTGTGAAAGCCATGCTGGTAGAAATGAAAGAGCCAGCATTGTTATTGCAAGATTCCACAGCAGTACTGCAGTCATGTATTGTTTTTATATTGTACAAACCATGATTGTCCTATAAATAATTCTTTAAAACATGATTTATTTTTCAAGCAAAATAACATAAAATATTCCATTTAGTGATATCAAGTCAAGTCAAGTTTATTTATATAGCGCTTTTCAGCAACAAGGCACTCAAGGCGTCATACATAAGGAAAAACATTACAATGATACAGAAAATCAAACAACAGAGGTAATTCAAAAAATAAAAATAAAATAAAGAGAATAGAATGATGGATAAGAAAATGAAAGGAAAATTGGACTGAAAACGTAACTAATAATGTTTAGATGGCCCAGTCAAAGGCCACTCTAAACAAATACGTTTTTAATCTTGATTTAAAGCAACTTAGGGTTTCGGCGCTTTTACAGTTTTCTGGGAGTCTATTCCAGATTAGTGGAGCATAAGAACTAAAAGCTGCTTCTCCATGTTTGGTTCTGGTTCTGGTTCTGCAGAGTAGATTTGAGCCAGAAGACCTGAGAGGTCTGGGTGGTTGATACACTGACAACAAGTCTGTAATGTATTTTGGTGCTAAGCCATTCAGTGATTTATAGACTAACAGAAGTATTTTAAAGTTTATTCTCTGAGCTACAGGGAGCCAGTGTAAGGACTTTAGAACCGGGCCGATGTGCTCCACCATCTTAGTTCCAGTGAGGATGCGGGCAGCCAGGTTCTGGATCAACTGCAGCTGTCTGATCCACTTTTTAGGCAGACCTGTGAAGACACCGTTACAGTAATAAATTCTAAAGATAAATGCATGAATTAGTTTTTCAAGGTCCTGCTGAGACATTAGCAGGACAGCTAAATTAGCTAAGTGTAAATGTGAAGGGATTATAAATGTGAGTCATGGGCCACGTCTCAACAGGAGGGAGTATAAATATTAATATTGCTTAGTGATAATAGATGCATTTTCAAAGTGAGTAGAAATCTTTCCCTGCAAATCACTTGACGCAACCGTTTAGAGGTGCTTCGTCTCAACGTCAGTGAAGAAACCAATGGTCCCTCCTAGCACTTAGGGGAGGTAAGTGGTTGACTGATAACACCTGAATAAAATAAAAAACAAAATTAAAAAAAGGTTTGAAAAATGTTATTGAAGCAATTAATCATAGCTGGATTTTGTACCTTAGCATTATTAATTTTGTTTGATGAACAAAGCCCCAGCAAAAAGGTTAAAAGGTGGATCGATGAAGAATTCCATGACATTTTTTATCAAGATATAGTACATTTATATGAAACAAATATATGGTATCAATATGTGAAAGTCATTGCTAAAAAAATAAATCTCTGATTGTTATGTGTGCTCTAGACTTCCTATTTCTTCCAGCCAACCTAGACTAACCAGTGCCAACACCAGAGGATGTGTGTTTCATAAGGCAGAGCTTGGAAGAAAACAGTGAGAATTTTCATTTGGTACTGAGGTTAAACTTTACTAAATTTCACACCTGTAATTTTATAATTTTTACATTAAAGTTAAATGTCACTGCTCCTGTCTTTAACTATGTCGAACTATTAGCAAGTTTTTGGTTCCCTCATTGTGTAGGAGGAAGGGGTTCTGTCCCAGTAGGTGCCCTCCCGAGCCGAGCCATCTGTGTATGTAACTGATCATACTTTTATTGTCAGCCGAGAATCTTCCACTCCAAATAGAATTAAGAGAGAACTCGTTCAAATCAAACCACATGATAGTATATGGGGAACAGATGTCCCTGATGAGTTTAAACATAGATCAACAGGAGATAAGATCTTGTTAGGTTTATTCCCATGGTCAGGATTAGGAAATGCTTTTCCACTGGGTTTAAAATCTTCGTTCTTTGACAAACTGGTCAGGATGCATTAGAGCCATACATGGCCCCATGGTCCTCCAGCAACATCAACAACAGCACCACAGTACATTAGACTAAAGTATATATTTGAGTCAACGATCAGCAGAACTAAAGCCCTTTAGGGCATTGTGCAGTCCACCTCCCACTCATATTGCACATCTTGTGACAATTAAAATGTAAATCAAACCTTTACATAATCTTGTGAGACAACCAATTGGTAAATGTTGGAAGATTTGTACATGAATTATCATTGCTTAGTTTAAAAAGGTTCTTTATCCTTATGATTTACCATTAAAAGACATTTTCATTTATTTAGTTTGGTGAAGTGACCCGCTGTACCTTGAGACGTGTTGTGATTTGGCGCTATATAAATAAACTGAATTGAACTGAATTGAGCTTTGATAGAAGTGGTTTGAATACTTTTTACATTTACCTTTTGAAGTACTTTTATGAACTATTAACAGAATTGTCATCTTGCATTTGGACGGTTGCTATGCAGACTGAGCAGGAACTGGTATTGAGGCTAAATTTGGAGTGATGTTTACTGTTTCACAATTCTGCTGCTGGAACCTGTTGGAGGGCTGGGATGTCAGAAAGTACTGTTTTGGTGAAAGTGAATGCTATGGAGGAACTGAAGTCGAACAATCCTCCGAGTGTGCAGAATGGTGTGATAAGTTAATTTGTGCACATTTAAAGCCAGACAAAAAAAATTGTGGATCTGATGTGTTTGCTATGCTTACTGTGCTGCACGGCACCTAACAAAGGGTCAAGATCTTTCCACTGATCAGTTTTAGTTTTTTTTAGAAAGAGAAGTGAGAGGTACGAAGGAACAGAGACGAACAAAGAGGATTGTGTAGGAGTGAGTTAGACAGACAGCACTGCATGATGCTGATTCCGATACAGAGTAGTAGTGGCCAGCTTTTCAGTGTGTACACGTACCACTGTTCTTCCAAGGGTTTTTCAGGTCCATCAAAAACATTTCCTGTGCGGCCACACTTGAGATTGTTCAACATGCTATTGATAAATGTAATGTGGTGTTGACCCATCAAACTTCACAAAAATTGAAGATATTGGTGACTGTGGATCAGAAACATTAGTAATGTGTAGGCCATCAGGTGTGGAAAGAAGGTGGATGCCTACACATCAGGCCATGGCCAAGTAAGTTAACAGGACGCAAATCAAACAGAAAAAGAAGCATAACCACTACTGGTTCCTTGAGGTGCTGTACTCGAGACGGGTTGTATGAGCCGCTCTTTAACAAGTTGACCTGAGGCCCCCACAGAATACACATAATATTCAGTCATAGGGGGGAATAAAGGGAAACTGGAGGACCTAATTACAGATCTTGTAGCTCCGGAGTCTACTAAGACAATAGAGTTAGTTACAGTAAAAGCTCAGTCAGTTGCCATGTCTAGGAGAGAGAAAGGGTTAAACAGTAAAAGACAGGACCATGTGGATCATCGGTAGAGGGTGAGCATTAAGTTGTTGCCAGCAGAAGCTTGGATGATGCCCCCCTCCAGAAACGTCACAGGTAGACACAGAGTCAGGCCAGGTGTAGCTTCTAGGAAGAGAAAAGAGAGAGAACATAAAGTTAAAAGCTGAAATAACAGCAAATAATGCAAAATTGGAGAGTAGTATGAGAATGTAGCAGAGAGAGTGAAAGT